AGACAGCTGCTATAATTGTTAAGGTTAAGAGCAGCTCTCTTGCTTGCACGAGAAAAACTGAAGTCCACAAAATAAGCAGCTCGTCATCTGAAATATTTATGTGTTCATCCCTAAAAAAGCACCCATCCTCTCAAAAACTACGGTGAAGCAAAATACATTTACTACAGCTTAGAATGGCTACCAAGGGCTTCCTAATTGATTAATGTGAATTTCAACTTATTTTCTTCTTTAGATCTCTTTACTGCATCTTTCTTCTGTAGAGAGCAGGTCAGCCCTCATGGAACATTGAATACATTGTGTGCAATGCATAAAAACAGGGTCCAGTGCAGAAAATGAGTTCCAGTGTCAAAGATCTTGCATTAAAAATGCCTATCCAGTGGCCTGTTCTTACGTAAGTTTATTCGGATGTTTGAGGAACTTAGGAGAGTAGAACAGCAGAAATACACAGATCTAAATCTTAATGCATTTCTTTGGCTACTCTGTGTCACAGTGGATGCTTAACGATCAGAATTAGGGATGAAAAAGGAAGGAAGAAACGATAATGTAAGCATTAGTCCAGGATTCAAAGACCTGCGTTCAGTTCTTAGCTGTTGTGCAGTTTCAGTCTCTCAACGTAAAACACTTTTAATAGCTGTGGCCTTTCTCTTTGGGATGTCTTATGAAAGTGGATGCATCAGCATCAAGAAAATATCTAGGTACGATACAGCTGCATAAGCCATTAATGTAAGCAATGTATTGAACAGTGTATTGAACAAACCATTTTTTCCATAGGCCATATTAAAAACTATGGGTCATAGAAATGATGAAGTAGTGTGATTTTCCCCTTCCATTGATTCCCAGCATTTCAGCAATTTCTGTAGCATTCTTGTAGTCCTTTCAAGGTTCCTTCCCAAGCCAGAAGGAGACTCAGGTGTGCCTTCTCTGCTTTGCACATGGGATATAGAGCATCAGGACACGGTGAAGAGGTGGTGAGAAAGTGTTGCACAGACCCATGAGGGGACAGGAAATTCCCTCTGATGTCTCTGTCCACCCGGGCTGTTGTAGGAAACCCAAAGCATTGGAGTTATGGATGTGTTTCTCACGTTGAGCTTTTAGGAGCTTGATGAAATTGCAGATACCCTTATTTCCTCTTCTCTGAAACCTCCCTCTTAGCCTTAGCTAAGATAGCAAAGAATGCTTTTTTCATTGAGAGGGAAGATAAAAAGGGAAGGCAAAAAAGTGGGAAAATGAAGTTATCTTTAAAATGTAGTTGGAGCTGACGATGAAGTAAATTTAGCTACTTGGTTGCTGCTTTGCAGTTGTTTGTTTCTGCCATCACCCACTAATGTAGTTGAAAGGCTAACCACTGAAGTCATTGAATGCCTTCTGAATTTATTCTTTCCTCTGATTTATATCCAGTATATATTTTCATAAGTTGGGCTGTCGTTACATTGAAGGTACAAATTCTGTCCTTTTTCTAGAGACTAAGTGTCTAAGAAAATAAACGCACACAATATTTATAGTATCACTCGCAGTGTATCTAAGTAGACCTAGAGTCTAAAAATACCTATTTTAATTAGTGACCTCTTGGGGGTGAGCTGAGAGCTCCATTTTTAGTTACAAGATATTGGAGGACGTGGAACTCCAGGACAGTTTCAGGGCAATAATGTAGCATGGATTTTGGTATCATAGATCCTAGCCAGGCAGAGGAGTGGGGAAAGTTTGTGACTATGCTGTTCAACATCACAGCGGGCTTGCACTGTAACTACAATGTGACTGAGACATCTTTAAAGTCACAATGTTCTATATTAAAAATCCTGGTGATGGCTAAGTCATTAAAACATGGGGGAGTAAGAACTGCTAAAGCCTACTGTTCTGGGAAAGTAATTATATATTAAATACCTAAATGCAGTTACATTTGATGGAAGGTATTGGTTGATAGGATACTACCTGCATGGAACTGGTCTTGTAAAGGATAATTTTCAGTTAATCAGTGATAAAAGTACATTTTTTTTAAAGCGGTTACATTAGAGAATTCTTTGAGTTCTGCTTTTGTGTTCCCGTTGGCATAAATGTGAGTGTAGTCCTAAAGTGAAAGGCAAAATAACAGTACGGTGTTAAATTATTTGCCAGATTTATAGTCTGTCACATCCTGCTGCCTGCCTAGCCCTGTTGGGCAGGGTTAATGTTGCCGTGGAAAACTGAATTTAAGACTGTCTGATTTACTAAATATGAATCTCAATCTTAACAAATATCATATTAGGTAAGTGGGAGGATGGAGGAGCATTTACCTTGCACAATGCTATGAAAAAGTAATTGTAATTGAAAAGCAGTTGTGTCTTGTTATATTTACTTTTATTGTTCTGTTTCATTGCTTGCCTCTAGATAGATGCAGATGTTACTGCAGGGAAGGAGCTCATTTGCTACCAGGAGTACCAGCCTGCGTGCATGCTCTGAACCTAGCCAGCTTGCTCCCTTTTCATTAAGCATAAGCTACTTCAAGTTTTTATTTACTGCTGCATTAGGGCATTAAGGGAGAAGATAGATAATATTAGCTTATTCCTGTGCTCCTGCAATAATAGCACTGCACCGAATTTGGAAGAGCAATGCCTGGTCCTGAGAGTAAAGGAGATCAGACTGGGATCCACAGGCTGGAGTTTTCAACAGGGCATAGAGGAGCCAGTACTTGCTAGCTCATGAAGCGCCCTTACACCCTTGTTAAAGTACCATGTGCTGTGCTTATCTCTGCATTCCTAGTTATTAGCTCTGGGTGGTTTAATAGCAGTCAAGTTATTGCTCCATACTATGATCAGTATGATATACTGTTCACGTGCTATCAGTGTGGGACATCAGGGCCATTTAGGGACACATATAGCTATCAGCAGTAGGTTAGGTTAGATGGAGGGCTTGAGCTAACTTTGCTGAAGACAATGTGAGTCTTTCCCATGACTGTGATTTTAAGCTAGATAGAGCCATATTTTGGCATGAAATTTATGCATACTTCTTAGAAAGTGTCCCTGCAGGATAGAGTTGAAACACAATGTTGGAGGAGGGCTTAAGAGAAACTTGTACCACTGTAGTCAGTGTTACACTTAAGAGGTTGTAGAGAGGTGGGGGTCAGTCTCTTCTCTCAAGTCACAGGAGACAGGATGAGAGGAAATGGCCTCAAGTTACGCCAGGGTAGGTTCAGGCTGGATATTAGGAAAATTTTTTCAGTGAAAAAAGGGTTATCAGACATTGGAATGGGCTGCCCAGGGAGGTGGTTGAGGCACCATCCCTGGAGGTGTTCAAAAGACAGGTTGATGTAGTGCTGGGAGATATGGTTTAGTGATGGTGATGCTCTTGTTTGTTGTGCGGGTGTCTATTTTTGTCAGTTAGGTTGACAGTTGGACAAGATCTTTAAGGTCCCTTCCAACCTAGAAGATTCTGTGATTCTGTGACTGTTCTCTCAGACATACAAGCTGGCCTGTTCCAACTGTTCCAACTCCATTTACAGTGGGACCTCTCTCTTTTTTCTAAGGGAGGTGGCATTTTTGGTGGTTTGTCCCTTTCAGATGGTCTTCCTCCTCCAGCTGTTGTCAAATACACCAAACGGTTATACAACTGCTCATTTGTTATGCTGTTATATGACCGCATTTATAGAGACAAAAAGCCCAGTTGGCCTGAAATGGTCTCTCTTTCTCAATGGCAGGAGCACTGGCAGCAGCAGCAGGTACTTATTAAGAATATCTCTGGAAGAGAGAGGAAGAGCAAGTATGCCTGTATGTATCACTTTGCACACTGACACTCCTCCCAAGGGAACTGAGGAAATAAGACAATTAAACTGGAAAATGGCAGTGTTGAAGATCCTTCAACTGCTGCCAGTCAGTTTTCTGCCCCAGTGGTAAACATTCCCCTCCACGTTGTGAGTGTCTGTCCCTGTGTCCCCAGCTCTTTTCAGCCAGTGGGAACTAGCACCAAGGAGTCAGCATATCTTTATTACTGGGAAGTTACACTACCTATGTGCAGATGCTGCTGTTAACTTGAAAATGTAGCTGTGTAGTGCCAAGAGCAAGAAACAATTATAAAACTGGGATTCTTTTCCTGGGTCTGCTGCTATTGCCTGATCATTTGACTGTAGTTGGTGGAGGCATCACAAAAGACACACCAGCAAGACTGGTACAGATAGTACTCTCAAAAGACGTAGTTACTCAGGTGACCAGAAGGAGCTGCTCAGGTGCATTCATTGCAGGTTAAAAAGTGCCCTTAAAGGTAAATCTTCTAACCAGTCACAGAATAGGTACAGCAGTGGTAATAATTTCTACCAATTTCAAGTGTTCAAGCTCTGACCCTAATTAGACTCTATGTCATGGTATCTTTCCTTGAATTCCTACCTACAGGTTGTAACAATATGGCTTTATATGGATAACTCTCCACCAGGAACCAGATGAGGTAGTTAATTTGCTCTGCAGACTTCTAATTGCCTATTGAAATTAAAATAACCTGTGGCCACAATAAAATTAAAATTGAAATTAATTGAAATTAAAATAACCTGTGGCCACAATACCTTGGGCTGATTTCTAGTTAGGTGAAAGCATGATAGGTCCTATTTGTATATATTTGAAGAGCTGGGAAGAGGGATGGGTTTGAGATGGTAATGTTTGCAGATAGTTAGTTTGTTCAGGCTAGATAAATCTTCAAAGTGTGAGAAGCTTCACAAGGGTATAGCCAAAGGTATGTGGATGGGCAGCCACTGCAAAGCCAAAGTGCTTACTACCACTGACTGTCTCATTGTTCTTAATTAGAACGATACTTTTCAAACAAGTTCTATCTATTGTAGATTACAGGACAAATTTATTCCATTTCTTGCATTTTTCCCAGAGCTTGGCCTCTCACAGAAAAAGGACCATGGGCTGGATGATCTTGTGTGAACTGATCTGTACCAAAGACTTTAAAAGATAAAGGGCTCTGTAATCCATTACCATTCTTCTGAATCTTTCATATTATTAAATTCATCTCATTATAATTCCTCTTTTCAACAGGAAGCTATCAAATGGATCCCAAGAATGTTGTCATTCTGACCCAACTCATTCAAATTCACTTATCTGACGATAAAAACCATAGCCGGAATGCACCAGCTGTACAGAAGAAGATAAATAGTTCAGATGTCTATTTGGAAACACTGTAAGTAGATCTTTTCTCTCCAGTAATGTAATTTTATCTTGCTGTATCTAATTGCAGGTAGTTGCTGAATCTAATGATGAGGTTGCTCTGCTTGCTGTCTTACCAATATCTCTGAAGTCTTAAGCAATGAGAAAAATCAAGATTGTTTAAAATTGTCCTGAGTGATTCCACTGTTGCACAGAAGGATATTTTTTCTTGGGCTTTCATGGGTCGCAGTAGTTCAAAACTGTATTTTCTTCTTTTATGGAAAAGAAGTTCTAAAACCTCCTGTAAGATGAGAAGGTTCATGAATTGGTTCAGTAGTCAACCACTGACACGTGAGACAGAGACTGAACTAGCCAAGTGTTCTCTTAAACACATCACCCCCAGAGGCCATTTCTGACACTTATAAAATGTAAAATTATTATGTGATGCCTTTTTTACTGATTTACCTGTGGTTTGCATAAGAATTTCTGTCTGCGACAGCAAAAGGGATAATGGGTTGCTCAGCACTTTTAAAGCAGATCAGTGGCTTCATATTCATGGCCAGTGTGCCACCTGGAATACAACCTGGGGGTCTCCTTGACAGCCTTAGACCTCCAATACTTGAGCAAGAGCTGGCTCACCATTCAGCTGTAGGTATCTGTTCCATTTGTAGCTACCCTCGTCTTATTCAGCAAGTTTGATCCCTGCACTAGAGGGCAGTCAGAGTCAGCTGCACCAGCTGGTAGCTGTGTCACTCCAGCCCCAGGAAAAATGGGAATATCTGTGAGGAGATGGGGCTGCCAAGTCTCTGGACTTGCCTTTTAGTCCTTCAGCCTCTTAGTATTAGCCCTTTGTCGGGGCCAGGAATGAGCAGCACAGGCACTGCCATTTCTCATCGTGAATGAGAAAATGAAGTGCAGTGGCTGCTGGATCCCCCTCCAGAAGGTATTTATGCAAGTTGACCCCTCTTCTTTGGCTATTCTTAACCACAACTTTGCAGTATTGGGTATTTCCTGGGCCCATCTCATGAATTTTTAGTGTAGATAAATCCAAAGGGAAATAACGGGGTAGGAATGAAATGCTGCAAAAATTGCTGGATTACATGATTCCATGTAACCATGGAATCATGACTTGGACAGCTGTCATTGGTTTCAATAGACATTTGAGTGCCTGGGTTTGTCTGGAAAATCAAGTGTGGTATGTTTACATAGTCTTTTATACCCAAGTAGAAGCCATCAAAGAATTTCTGTCACCTACAAAGCTTTGTGCTATTCACAAGTCCAATTGACTTGCTCCACATCACCTTCAGGAAGGGCTACATTCATGTGTTTGGAAGGTCTTGCAACACTTCAGATCCTGTTTGAATTCTAAGAAAGACCCTAGGAGTATCCATTCCCTTGCCTGCTTTCTCCCCAGGGTGGCTGAACATGCCTGGCTTCTGGCTGTGGTTTGGGTATGGACTATTGGGCTGTACCCTGTTGTATGTGGAAGGCCAAGGGCAAGGGACCTGGTAGATCCTTTTCGAAAGAGTGTGGGTCCCATGAGATAGAGTTCACCCCAAATTTGGAAAGGAAAGCCATCACGTAATAGAGGAAGTGTACGTGAAGCACACAGCAGAGAAGAAAATGGAGTTTGATGGCAATAGGTATGGGATACTGGGTAGTTGATTTATTTAGGAGAAAGGAATTTTTCTCCCTCATAGCCAGCACTGCACCATCTGTGGCATTCAGAATTTGCCTCTTGAGAAGCAAGCATTGCCTGATGCCTCAGACAAGATATTAGACTTGGTGGCTGCTAAAGCAACTTGGCCTAGCAGATGTTGTGGCATGTTGAAGAGAGAACCCTGGCAACCATCTGCTTGGAAATTCCTGCCCTCATATGCCCCCAGCTTTACAGCACCACAAGCACAAGGAAATCATATCGAAACAGGAACCTCACATAAATGCCATGCTGTTGAGTGAATGGCAGCTTTTCATAAGGAGCAGTTGACTTTGCAGACCAGGTCCAAATAGATTCTGGGTAAGAGTTGATCTTTTTCCATCAAAAAGCTGACAAAAGCCAGAGACACAGATGGCTCTTTTGTCAGCTCTGGTTGAATGCCCATGCCACCAAGCCATCTTGGTGAATCCTCCTCCCTTTGCACCTCACATACACTGCTCAGGGCTGTCCGTAGCCCAGTATCTGCCAAGCCTGGGTTTCCACCATCTGCACTAGGCAACCTTTTCTTTTAGCTTGCTGTTCATGGCACTGTCAGTTTGAATGGCAAACATGGATACAAGCATTACCAAAAGCAAAGCTCCATGTGGAGGTGAGAGTATGCACTTGGAACTTGTCCAAAATGAGTAACTTCTTTTTTCACATGCTTAAGCAGGAACCAGGAAATACCTTCAACGGATTTTTTTTCTTCGGAACTTCTGATTATTCTTTTCATAAAGGGCTGGTGATTTGTAAACATCCCCAAAGGATAAGGTGTGCTCTGGGGTTTTGTTTTCCCAGGTTTCATGTTTATGTACACTACAATAAGGCTAAATAAATGAAGGGAAATAGTAGCATCTCTTTGCTTTGTTTCTAGCTGGCATTTCCAGTCTGGTCTGGAACAGCTGAACCCAGGAAGGGATTCCCCACTGTTGTCAAAGGGCTCTACATGAAGATGTCCAGGGCGAGTCCTACATTTCTTTTCTTTTGCATGCCCTAAACTCCCACCAGTTTTACTGAGTGCTGATACTTTTTGCCAATGGCAGCATCAGATCTCAGCAGGGATCTCCTTCCTCTGTTGAGGCTAGAGGATGTCTCATTTCCCTGTGCTGGGTGTAATCCCTTTGCAGTAGCATAAGGACATAGGGAGTAAAAGGTCCTGCCATTCTGATTTCATAGTATTTTGCAACACCTTTGTACTTTTTTTCAGTTCTGTAGAGGACTGCATGTGATGCAGGGCAGTGAGGACGAGGAGGATTGCTAGGGCCTTGGGAAATGCTTGTCCTGATCACTGAGACTTATTAGCTCTTGGGCATGAACAAATCAATCCAAAGAAAATAAACCAAATCCTTATTTAAAACCTCAAGCTCTTTCCCTTTCCCTTTTTTCCTTTTCTTCCTTCCCCTCCCCCCCACTTTTCTTCTCCTCCTCCTTCTCCTCCTTCTCCTCCTTCTCCTCCTTCTCCTCCTTCTCCTCCTTCTCCTCCTTCTCCTCCTTCTCCTCCTTCTCCTCCTTCGAGCACCAAAATTTCTTTTAACTTTCCCTTCCAAAGTTTCAGACAGCTTTGGCCTCAAACAAGAGCTGATGTACCGAAACCCCACGAGAGAGGTCTATTCTTACTGTATTTCTGGCCTATTTTTGCTAGAAAGAGAGATGGATGCCCTCTGAAGCTCAGAGTGGGGTATCTGGAGTTTCTGATGTTTCCTCTGACTGCTGTGGCACTTGTTCATCACTTGTCCAGACCACATCCTCTCTTATTGTAAAGTACAGTTAAAAGGGGGAGAAAGAAGTCACTACGGAGGTGAACTGCTGTCAGTGGACGAGGGGACAGAGTGTATCCTCAGCAAGTTTGCTGATGATACCAAACTGGGAGGAGTGGCTGACACCCCGGAGGGCTGTGCTGCCATCCAGTGAGACTTGGACAGGCTGGAGGGCTGGGCAAAGAAGAACCTCATGAGGTTCAACAGGGAAAAGTGTAGGGTCCTGCACCTGGGGAAGAAAAATGTCAGGTACCAGTATAGGTTAGGGGTGGACCCGCTAGAGGCAACTACTGAAGAGAAAGATCTAGGGGTCCTGGTGGACAGTAAAATGACAATGAGTAAACAGTGTGCTCTTGCGGCCAGGAAGGCCAATGGTATCTTGGGTTGTATAGGGAAGAGTGTAACCAGCAGGTCAAGGGAAGTCATTCTCCCCCTCTACTCTGCACTGGTGAGGCCACAACTGGAGTACTGTGTCCAGTTCTGGGCTCCCCAGTTCAAGAGGGACAGGGAACTACTAGAAAGAGTCCAGCGTAGGGCTACAAAGATGATTCAAGGATTGGAGCATCTCCCTTATGAGGAGAGACTGAGAGAGCTGGGACTCTTTAGTCTGGAGAAGAGAAGGCTGAGGGGAGACCTTATCAACGCCTACAAGTATCTCAAGGGAGGGTTGATGGAGGAGGGAGCCAGACTCTTTTCAGTGGTTCCCAGCGAGAGGACGAGGGGCAACGGGCACAAGTTGGAACATAAGAGGTTCCACTCAAATATGAGGAGAAACTTCTTCACGGTGAGGGTGACGGAACCCTGGAACAGGCTGCCCAGGGAGGTTGTGGAGTCCCCTTCTTTGGAGATTTTCAAAACCCGCCTGGATGCAGTCCTGAGTAACATGCTCTAGCTCTAGGCAATCCTGCTTCAGCAGGGGAGTTGGACTAGATGATCTCTATGGTCCCTTCCAACTCTAGAAATTCAGTGAAATTCAGTGAAAATTCAGTTTGGAGAGCAGAAGGGTGGGTAATGTCACTCTGTCTTTCTCTTTTGTGGAGAAAAATGTGGGGGAGCATATAATAACATGAGTACATGGAAGGCACTAAGACTAAAGGACAAATGGACACAACTCGCTCATATTTCAGGTCAGCTAGGTGTCAGGGTTTCCCCCATCCAAGGTACACTGCCTGTTTCAAGCTTTTTTCTTCAGTGGTGTGAGTAAATAAGATACTTGGCTTATGAATAAGAAACTGAAAGGCAGAGAGGTAAAGGGGACATTTGTTACACAACACGAAGGTGGGGCTGTTCCCAAAGAAAAGCACGGGCTCATAAAGATCGATTTAGGCCACTTTTAGGTGAGGCAGCAGGGTACTCAGTAGTACAACTCCTGTTTGTGTTTGTGCAGGCTGAGGTTGAAGACATGACTTGGGTTGTGAAAAAAAAGGCAAGCAGAGCTTTCCTCTTTGCCAGAGCTCTCGATCTGTCATCTTGCACCGAAAGTATCATCATGTCATATTGATTTCTGGGATATCATTTTGGGAGCACAGCTGCATTGGCCTCTGTCACTGAAGTTTGTAGAGAAATGAGAAGTATCTTTAA